ACATTTACTCTCTGGCACGTCTGTACCAAGAATTGTAATTCTGTAAACCACAAATTAAACCTGCTTCAATTGCTGCCAAATAGATTTTTATGAGTTCAACTGAAATTGCATTTAGACATATTTAGCTGTCAAAAATCATGTCACAGTGTGTCAGCGTGTTTTTATTGTATTGTTGCTGTTGTTGTATGTGTTTGACTGACAGCAGTTGCAGGGATAGCCAGAGTAAACTTGTACTGGGAAGTAGCTGACAATCCATTACCATGTTTAGTTAGTGGGTTTGCTTATAGCTGTATTAATGATGAAAGACCATACAGCTTCAAGCAAACAGAAGAGAAATTAGTAGTTTTTGTTGACAGCTCTGTTTGTCTACAGATTTAGTCAACTGCCTCAACATCTATTGGATGGATTAGCTTGAAAAGCTGTTCAGACGTTTGTGCATTTAGAGTATCAGTCATAATAACTTTGGATTTTCCCAGACTTCTCTCTAATACTACCATTAGGTTGACATTTTTAGTTTGGAATGAAATATCTCAACAAATACTGGATGGAGTGTTATGAAATGAATCATATGGACATTCCGGCATTGGTTCATTATGAACTGTAGTAACTTTGGTGATCCCTTAACTTTTCATCTAGTGCCATCATCAGCTGCACACTGATGACTGTCCCACCGGCCTCAGGTTGAATTTGTGTTTAGAGCCAATTAGCAAATGTTCGCATGAAGTAAGATGGTATCATGTTAAAATGCACCTGTTTACAATCCACATTGTTGCTGACATTAGCATTTAACACAGATGTGTGGTGTGGTGGGACTGTTGCTTGCTGCCTTTCTGCCTCTGCCTCCATGTTTTGTCTTTTCTCTTACGTTATAATTAGGCTCCTCGGCTATGTAGATCATCATCAAGGTTATTCTTTCAACATCCACCCCTTTTCATGGAATTTTAGTAATTGGCATGCCAAAATGGAAAAGCTTATATCCAGCAGAACTGCAGGGCTGAAATGCATGTGGGAGACTTCACTTGAAAGATCTTGTAATTCCTGAAAAAGTGCTTCTTTAGCATGTGGCTAAAAATAGCCCAAATGAGCCGCTGGCAACCTGGTGGCTGTTATTAAGTGACTGACGATTATTTTCGTAATAGTTACCTGCATAGTTTTCTTGAATTTCATGAAAGGAGAATACTGTAAAAAAAATCTGTTGTTTGTTCTTATTTCTGTAGCATTCATGCTAAATCAGCGCAGACCCACAGCCTCCCACATGGTGTGGCCAGTTTGGTTATGAGCGCAAAGTTGTTACGACCCACAGTCAGAATGGCCGCAATTATGAGAACAAGACGCAGGTTGAAAAATACCAGAATTTCCCTTTTAACACTGCCGTTCTATTTGCATTTAATTGGCTGCAGCTGTTTTGCTCTCCTTAGGAGATGGGTGCCTCTGAATTATGTGCACTTTCACTGTGTGTTGTTTGCATTGGACTGGATGAACGATCTCGGCTTATGTTTCGTCGTGCGCCTTACAGATTTGTTTTACATGTAATTGTCTGTATATCTGCATTCTGCTTTTTTCCTCACACATGTAAACAAACACTTGACTACACACGGCCAAGAAGATTGTTCCTAACTAGCAGTAAATGGAATACAGAAGGTCCACCTGGTTCCTGTGTGTTCCAGAGAGCTTTACTTTTAGGGCGAGCCTAGCTACTTAGTTAAACAAAAGGGCCTCCATGTTGGTCCTCTAGATAAACACACTTTCCTGAGAAAACACGGACACAGTTACACTTTAACCTGCCCGGGGAGGCCACAGCTACATCCTCTCGGACAGTTTAAATCAGACTGGGCTATAGTTCAGACCCGCAGTGAGAATCATGCGCTGCACGTGAAACCATGCTGGCCTGTCAAACAATGGAGCCTTTGACAGCCATACCCCCCTCCCTAGTCCACAGTACAGTCAGAGCACTGTCTCTCTAGGGCTTGGGTGTCACTCCCCATCTCTGTTGTGCTCCCCTGGAGCCGACCAGCTGGCTTCTAGGCTCTGGGACGTCAAAGCAGCAGCACAGAGGAGCTACAGTCAAAGTTCAACCCAGATTAGCCCAGCAGAGAGGCCAGCAGCAACTCAGCCTCACCAAGTCCAAGCTGTTTCTGCATAAATAACCTGATAAACGTGGCCACTTGAGAGCAGGTTGAACTGGTCCTTTTTAGTCTAACCCACCCCAGATAATTCAAGCCTTGGTCTGGCCCTTGGTCTGGCTCAGGGATGCTTTTGACATTGACTTTGGCTGTTATTGGCAAACATGCGGTATAATATCAAATTCATGTAGAGACAATATGTATAATCTCACCATGACTAACGTGTAAATTCTTGTTTATTTTAAACAACAACTTATTAATAAATACCTAGAGATGAGCAGATTTATAGGTCAGGTAACAAAAACATATGCCAATTGAATTATGAAATAATACAGCTGGCTAAGCTGAGTGTACACAAACAATGTCTTTTCATAGCATCTTTACAAAAATGAGTAGCATACCAGAATGTTTGTAAAGTCAACAGTACATTTGTCTCATTCTCTGCTAGTACACATGTTGACAAGGGTTCAGCATACAAATTGCTCTGTGTGCATTACAGATACTTTCTGCTATGTTCAGGTCATACTGAGTTCATACAGTAATATCACATGTGTTTCCTCAGTATCTGTGTGCATGTAAAACACAAAATAAAAAGGAGGAAGTATACAGTATATCACCATGCCTCTATTACTAGATAAACAAAGGGTTTAGTCTAGTCTGAAGCCATTGTGACTGTGTGGGCCTATGTACAGTAAAAATGAAGGGGTTAAATGAAGTATAAAGCCTGAACGATTTTAAACATTTGAAACAATGAATAAAGGTTTCTTATCTCTCTGGTAGATGATGAACATAAATGCAAGCAATGAGTGTTATCTGATGGTGTAGTTATGCAGAGCTGCCACCTCCCCCAGGCACAGCAGCAGTCGTGTAAACAGACAGCGCTCTAGAGGAATGCTGGACTCTGTGACCTCCCGCCCCGAGTGCTGTTACAGTGCACTGAGTTCAGCTAAAACAGCCCGCCCCATGCTGCGCCTCCCCAGAGCTCCGCCTCGCCCTACCCCAGTCTGAGGCCCCTCAGGGTGGAAAAAAACACACCTCTTTCACCCAACACCACAGCCTCCTCTCATACACGTATACATGAACAGACAGACAGACAAGTGCTCTCTTTCTTTACCACCGTTAGCTGTCAGGGCCGTAGGTTCTTGTTGTTTCGGCAGTTTCAGTATATCTTTGTTTAAAAGACCTTTAGCAAATCAGTTCTATGTACTTGTCCTTCCCTCACTGATTCTGTCTTGTTCGGTAAAGAAAGTGATGTACTTTGTAGATGAAAATATTTTGTGACTCTTACATACTTTTAGTGAAAGCGGAATTTGTATTTGTTGTAAAAAAAAAAAAAAAGATGTGTGTTTGGCACCAAGGAGCCTTTGTACTCAAACTCTTTCCTTTCTCTTCTCAGTGTTTCACATGCGCTAACCTCTGGATGTGCAAATGTACAGTTTGATTGCTGATAGAGAATGAAAGCACTGAAGTTTTTCATCACTTTTCAGTTAAAACATAAAGGATGGTCAGAGTGTATTTTCACTTTCACTGCTTTAAATAAACATTCAGTGGATGCAGTTTGCAGCAGGCACTGCATAGTGTCAAGCAGACACTGCCATCTGCTGGAATGCAAATTCTGGGGAAAGAGCAGGTCAACAAGGATGGGTGCCCTAAGATTTGGGTTTGTGAAGTCACACAGACTAACATGTGACTAAGTACTTAGAAACACATTGAAAGCAAGATAGAGACACTGAAATCTATAAGTGGTAGAAATTCTAGTCTACTTCTCAAACACTTTTATGCCAGCTGTAACCCCACTAATGTCTCATGAATAAATTAAGTTAGTCATCAGATTGAAGACCTATTTAAAACCTAGCATGAAGTTGAGTTGCAGCTGTTTACTTGTCATGGATTATGAATCTTAAGTGGATTTTATCATTGATTGCAGAACCAGACACTGATGATTATCACTTTGCTGCAACTCATCACATTAAACGCGAGGGGCCCTACACATGTATGCATTGCTTGTGCACACAATTGGACATGTGGATGCGCGCACACACATCCACGCAGAAGTACACGCACAAACACACATGCACACAATCACAGTTAGCTGTTGTCTGAGGAAGCGAGGAGCTGTCTGGTGCCATAGCAACCAATGCGGATATCCCACCCTTCTAGAGCAAGAGAGAGAGAAAAAAAAAACCAGAAGTGGCAATCACAGATTGACAAGACCCTAATGAGATCCTTGCTACAGAGATTATCTATCTATCTGTCTATCTGTCTATCTGTCTATCTATCTATCTATCTATCTATCTATCTATCTATCTATCTATCTATCGTGGTCTGGCAGTTTAAGACTAAATGACGAAGTGAAACCATTAAAGTGTGGCTACGGCGACATTGGGGGAATTTGAGAAAACAAAATGTAAGAAACAGAATGGCAGAGCTCGGGTGAGAAAAGGGGAGAACACAAACTGACGTGGAAGGAGAGAAATGAAACAAGGCAAGAAGAAAAAGGCTTAGACTACTCTCTGGGGCACGTCTGTCTGTTGTGAGCACACAGCCATTGCCTAAAAACACAGACACTGCCGCAGTCTGCATCAGGCTGCCTTTCACCACCGTGACTCTCATTTGAACTGCAGTCTTATATGTAATACTATTATTCTGGCCCATATACCAGGTTACATAACACTCCAAGCCAATTCCTGACCTCAATCTGCAAAACAGCCACTCTTGCTCTGATCAAAATGTTACACTCCGCATCAGCACCGATGTTTGTGGACCATCAGAACAGAAAATAGTCAGTACATTACAGCCTGGTTATTAACCATCGTTTGATGCTTTGGACGATTAATTGCTCTACATCTGATTAATCATTGTTTTTCTCTTCTTTAGGTGGTGGCAAGAACTTCAGTAGTGGATGGAGAGCACCAACCATGTTTACCCCGGTAAGTTGAGTCCTCACTGAGCCTCACTTCTTGGGCTGGCCTGCAGGTGGAATCACACCCTCTGCTGTGTGCTCCACACACAGTGCAATATTAGCACCAACATCACTGTTGGAAAAAATCTCCACCCCCATTTCACTATTCCTAGCTGTCAGGTTTTGTGTGATGTGACAAAGGGACAGATCCTTGATGGCCACTTCACCATCACCTTATGTGAGTGAGAGTCCGTGCGCGTCTGTGTGCTTTTGTTTTGTCTGTGTGGTGTTGCTGCTATTTATGTCAGCGGTGTATGGCAGAAGACCACATGAAGTGACTCACAGCACTGACATGACCTAAATCTTTTTTTACCGCAGTGTCATTGTGATGTCTATGTGCGATGCCAGCCGGCTTTGCTAATACTGTTGAGCTTTGATGTGCTGCCCTGAAGTGAGCTTGGAGCTTGTCAGTGAGTCTGTACAGTCAGAGAAGGTTGAATGAGACTTGAGAGAGGCCATGACTTTGACTTATGTGAAAACGTGGATTATAGATTAAGATGAACATGTCTCTTGTCCTATTTTGGAGTAGTACGACAGCTAGTCAGTAATCATCATAAAGCAAGTAACCCTCAAGTAAGTAGGTCCAAATGAAAAGCTTTTTAGAAGCACTTTTTTCCTTATAATACCTTATCCTCATATGACCTAGTTTCACCATTTTGATGCTACTTCTAGGATGAATTTCGTGTTAAATTTCACCACGCTGGATAAATACAGCCCAGCACAGGTGCATTAGTTCTCCACCGCATCTCTGCACTTGTTCGTCTGCGGATGAAGACATATTAAGGGTAGTAAAAAGCACTCAGTTGCTCCACTGTCCCCATGCTGATGCTCTGTTACCTCAGGTGGCCCGGTGTGCCGCCTCCTCCTCTTTTGGAGTGCAGCCCCACCTGATGCACTCATCTGCTTGCCTACTCATCTACGCCTTGGCCTGGGGAGGTGGGTGGATGGTGGGGGTGGAGTGGGGTTGGAGCACCAGCCAATAACACTCCTTATCCTGACAACATTGAAGTGACTTGACACATGTATTCAACCAATCACAGAACACTGCAGCAAAAAAAGCAGCAGTAGTAAAAAAAAAAAAAAAAAAGGAAGAAGAGTAAATACAGTGAGAATTTATTCAAAGGGGATGTCTTTGCTGTCCTGTGCTTTCATGCATTTTGCAAATCACAGCAAAATGGTACAATGACAATGTCAAACTCAAATGAAACCATGTGATGACGTCGTTAACTAGCACGTGTAATTTCTATTTCTCGATGTAATCATTTCTGATTAATACCATATTTTACAGGATACTTGCAAATGTTCAAAATCTGCATTATTGGTTCGGCACTAAATCTCTCAAAGCTGCACACTGAAAGTACAACTAGGCATTTAATCAGCAACATCTCACCAGCCACCTCCCAGTCACGTCGTTCCTCTTGACAACAATGGCTAATAGGATGGCTGACCCCGCTGCCTTGAAATTGCATATTCTTGTCTTCACTGTTGAGAATAGACAAAGAAAGACAAATAGAAGAGGGAATGTTTGATCTCTGTCTGAATAACAGTCATTTTTATCATCCACTCTTTCACTTTTCCTTTGAATTCCAGCTTGGATTGCCCCTTAACTCACCTTGATCTAAAATGAAATCATATAATTGTCCAGCTTAATAAATATGGATGAGAGCAAGTCATTCATACAGGGTTATTGTAACAGCAATCAGTGCATTTTATTGAGAAGAGGAAGAGCAGAGTCACAGGCATTGTGACAAAGGAAAGATCTTTTCCTGCTTATACACTAGACCTGCTTGTACACCTGTAAACCTCCTTACATCCCATTAGGTACATATATAATTACTATACAGTGTCTCGTTGTTACTGCCGCTCTTAAAACTCTGCATCAGCCAGTTCTTAAAGAATCAACCTAGGATGTGGCTTGGCGGCTTTAGTGTCTGTCAAGTCAGTCACAGCAGGAAAAAAAAAAAGCCTATTACCTTGTCTGACACAGCGTGGCAGTGCTGTCTTAATGGCTGCAGACACATGCCAGATATCAGTGGCCGGTGAGCAGACGACCTCTCTATTAGCTTGTGCTTCACTGTACGTGTTACCTTTCCCTTAGTGGCCTTATTGTTACAATGAGTGAATGATGGGACGACGTTCCCTGTGAGCGTTGATGAGAGGTGGGTGTGTTTGTCTTGTAGTGCTTTTTGTTGATTGTGATAAAATCATTTTTGTTTTTTAACCAGATAGATATGGGCTCATTTTCACCAGCATAATATGTGTTAGTAGGATATGATCTAGTTGGCATCTTTGTTCTGTCAGTCTGCAGGGAGATAACTTTTTTTTAAAATGTAATAACTCATAAACAATACAATATTTAGAAATATGTAAGGTAATATGAGTTAATGCTCTCAGCAAATTCTAGAGCTTTAGGGCCTACTAGAGAAAGATGCACATTAATGAGAAAATAAAGAATTTCTTAAGCTCCTTAATGTTTTAAATTACAGTGGTCACATTACTATGCACTACCACAATCATCATGGTAAGCAGTTTAATCAGTGACTTCATCAGCATAACTTAGTCATTACCTTTGAAAAGGAGGTTATATTTTCAGTCTGATTATTTTTTTAGTTGGGTATTTTCAAAACTTACTGACAAATACAGCAAACTTTTGTTGAAGGTTCTGATGTGGGTTTAAATTGAAATTTAAAAAAACCCCAACAAATTGATATTTCCTCATATACTGCTTGGCTTGATTAAAATGTCTGGACCTTGTTTGATCATTTCCCAGGGGTTATTTTGATCCCAATATATCACTTTTTTCATATATGAATATATAAAAACTATGTTTAAACTCGTAAGAGGTAAAAATATGTCTATTCCATTGGAGTGTTTGTTTAAGTGCTGAATGGCCTTTTCTACTTTAATGAATGATACATTTCTTTCACTTCTACACAACATTTTTACTGATGTCCAATGGCAGGGCACTTAGAGGTTTATATAGTATTAGATGTAATGTTGAATTGACAAAAAAAAAGTCACTCATTCGTGTTTGAAGGATTCAGTTTAAATTCACACAGTGAAAGATATAATGTAGGCTGTACAGAGGTCTGAGTCTGTTACTGAAACTATGATAAATTAAAAACCTGTGATTCATATTGTTTATATCTCACTGCTAATGTTGCAAAGCAGCAAGAATTCATTGCACTAGTCTGTATGTTTGCACTGCTCTTTCACAGATTTTATGTATTTAATTAAAAATGGAAGATTCTAAAATTTATTTTGATATCTTCAATAATGTCATTTTGGCTCATATGTACCTTCACAAAGATCAGATTTCTTTAAATTTTAAAAACCAAATTATCCATGTTTAACTTCATATTTATAGTCCTCCAGAATATGTTCATATTTAGTGACATTAACGAAAATTTAACAACAATACTATAGCACACTTCTTTACTTTTGCAGTACAGCAATGCCATTCTGTCTGCTTTATGTATTAACTGTTGTAATAACCTTCAGCCTTTGAAATGGGAATCATGATGCTGTGCCTTCTGTCTGGGTTTAACATGTTTTTCAAACACCTGCAGGCATGTAACTCAGATTCTTACTGTTCTTTACTGGGCATAATAGGAATGTTTCTGCATTCTTGTTTCGCGACCTCAATTCAGGATCATCTGAAAGAGACAAATAAGAAAAGCAACCACATCGTTCCTCTAAACAAAGTTAACCAGAGATGTTACTTAAACATGCCATTGGGCATACCAGGATAAATCCCCGTCGGCTGCTGCATCAGTAGGTTAATCAACCTTTATCGAAGCAACCCGATTCATCACTTGAGGTACTGATTAAAAATTACAATCATTCTTGCTTTTACTACAACATTGCTTGCTCCGTGGCTGAGTCCAATGACTGCGTCACCATGCAGGTCGTGTGTGAAATTCCACTGGAGCTGCATTGAGGAGAAAGACTGCAGACCATAGTAGCTGTAGCCAGTGTCTGTATCGTTTCCCTCCCTCCGTCCCTCCCAGCCTCACAGCTATAGTTCATGACTCACAAGGTAACGCGGGTGTTTTCTACGTGTTTGTGCGTATGTGTGTGTGTGTGTGTGTGTGCGTGTGCTGGAAAGACTGAGGAGGACACAGTACAGTGTGGACTTGGGTGGATCTCTCCCTCACACTCACCACTGTTCAAGACTATCTGTAAAGGATATATGGCTGATTGTTCCAGGTTGTGAACTGTACTTGTGTGCGTGCACGTGTGTGGTCGAGGATATGATTCATGGTGAATTTTGGTAGTGGAAATGTGGTTAAATGACCAGTGTGTTTTATTTGCTCACCAGAAGTGAAAGTGCAACTGAGTCATCAGACAAACATAGACACAATAGTACAGGAAACCACAGTGGTGTCTACACACCCTTGTGCTGTAAGCATACGCACACACTTGAGTTACTTGATTGGTGAAACTAAGGACTTTTACTTGCTCATAATGTTTCCCGCTGTTCTGAATCATGTCTCAAATGGTATTGGAAAGACACACCCAATAACCTTGTCTGATTAATGCCTTTGAAACAAAGGCAGTTGTTCTGTAGCGACACAGACAGTGTTGAGTCACCCATTTGAACTACTGACCTACAGTGGAAGAGGAGTACAGTCACACTAGCTGTGCTCCTTTAGTAGTGTTAACTGTGAAGGAATGTATGTAACCAAATCACTCTGGTAGAGTAAGGTGACTTTGAAATACTGAAATCGCCTGTAAATAAGAAAATACTTTTTTACTGTAAATTCAATTTTAAAATGTGGTGCTGTTTTACATTCTTGTACTAGACAGCCATGGGTTTACATTATACATTATGATAGTGTTGAATTATGCGTTACTTGTAGCCTCTCATTAGTGTCAGAGTTTTTCTGAGTCAGCCAGCCCAAAAAGTGTTTCGTTAGCCCAGTTTGACCTACAGGAGTTTCTGAAAGCTCATGTAATGTGTTTTGC